AGAGAACTATTAAGAAGACTCTAAAACACTCTTCTCAATAACTTGGGGATTGAAGAAAAAAATAAAAATTCAATCACAACCCTTTATAAATTAACCATAGTGAAAACAGTCCAAGATGAGAGGAAAATTCATAGACCTAAAGCTCTATCTCTTGATGGAAGAAACTGCAGGAGAGTGACACCATGTTTTTCAATCTACCACAAGGCAAAAAATAGGAAGGCTTAGTTATGTAGCTAGGAAACGGCTGCAGTGCACACCTTCTCATCCAGATAAAGCCTTCGAGGCCCTTTAGTGAGTTCACATACTTCCTGCTTAGGAATAAGCGACTCGAAGACGGGGTCAGCAGCAGTCACAACTTCGTCCAAAACAATCACTAACATCTCATCCTGTCCAACCTCTTACATCTCAAGGCTTTGGCCAGGCCGAGAAAACATCCTGCCTCGCTTCCAAGGTCAAGGGAAGAGCAGCACAGGAGACAGGCTCCGTCCTTTCCTTTTTTGTCCTGTGCCCACATGAATAGCCCTTGTTTCCTTTTTGAGTGTCTGGTGATGGATGCTCAGTTAGGTTCGCCCTCACGGGCCCCACCCTAATCCTCTAGAACAACTGAAATCTCTTTAGGAGTATGTATAAATACTCAGTGTAGGTCTGGAAGTTACACATGTGTACAAGGGGCACAGGAATAGGTGCTTGGGAGACTGAAATGCTTCACCGAGGCAAGGAATGTGAAGTAGGCCGGGAAATGCAGTGTGCGTATTGAATTCACAGGAAATGAGTCAGTTCGGTATAAACCGCTGGGCATTGGAAAATAAGATACGAAACATGTCTTCAAGGAACTGACAGCTGATAGGGCTCTCAGACAGCGTTCATTAAAGCTCTCCCCTCAGTGGTGGAAAGAGCTGAAAAATGGAGCGAGCCCATGGAAAAATGTATGTGGGATTATTTGAAACGTTACAAAGCACCAAATTCTATAATATTATTTTCACTATTACTTGATCGTAATGGTTTCCCTAATGATACATAGCAGGGGTCAACAAACTATGGCCTGCTGCCTGTGTTTGTAAATAAAGTTTTATTGGGACACAGCCAGGCCCGTTCATTCACATACTGTCTCTGGCTGCTTTCCCTCTACAAAGGCACAGCCTGCAAAGCCTAAAATATTTACTACCTGGCCTTCAGAGCAGAAGTTTGGCAACTTCTAATCTATAGTGTCATTCAAATGTTTCCTGGGCCACTCAATTCTGTCTTCTTTCTTTCCCCTACGGGAAAAAACTTTTCATGTGTGAAAATGATCACCCTCATTTCAAATAAATTCTTTATAAACATGTGAAAAATATGGGACGGGATGGTCTTAACTGTTCCAACAATATATATAATTATAGTTATATATTAATATGGCTCCTGTCTGTAATGAAATTTTCTTCCTCAAATTCCAGAGACAAAACATTATTGCTCTTATAAATGAAAAATGTATTCTACATGTAGTAACTTGCTTTTTTCTAGATGAAAGCTTTTTTTCCTTGAATTATGACTGTCTTGTAGAAGAAATAATTGCTGTGTGTCAGAGTGACTTGCTTTATTCTGTTTTAATTATTACCAAGCAACCTCATCTTAAGTTCCAAAGTCCTAACTTCTTTTAATAGACATAGAGGTATTGTCTGAGCTCCAGGAATTTATATTAAGCTCTCACAAAGTCTATCATGAGTGTAGCCCGCACAAGCATGGAAATAGAACTCTGGGACAGCTGCAGTAGGCCCAAGGTTGGTTTCAGTTACCATTTAATCTTTGAATAGAGCAGATATCCACCAGTGGAAACCCCTTTGAGAAACTAAGGCATTAGCTGGCACTGGAGTAATTCCACATATGCCTTTGTGATCGTCAGGAGACTACAGCATGAACCCTCTTCCCTGCCAAGTGGTACTTCGTATGTGTTCTAAAGTCATCCCTCCACCTAGAACCAACAGGCTTGCTGTCCTTCGACATTTGAATTAGGGTTTTTTTAGTGGGGGGAGCCTTCAGTTTATTTTGGTTCTAGACCTTAGGAAACCATTTCTAAGGCCCTAAAGAAATGAGAACCAGGCAAATGTCAGCTCTGAAAATCCCAAAGATTGTCACACTTAAATATCCACAGTCCTCTTCATTACTGCCGTTTGGACACGTCACTCCCCAAAAGTCCCTGACTTTTCTTCTAATAGTTTCTTCTAATCACCATCCACTGAGTGCTTTGGGGAGTGAGGTTACCTTGTATTGTCCCAAAATAGACGGGAAGAAGCAGCATAGGCCAGGAAAGGCCTTAGAGAGATCCATTAACACGAGAAGATTTGGGAAAGAAGATGAGAGGGATGTCTTCAGGCCAAAGGAAGGAAGAATCCTGTTTGGTTAGAGAAAGGTGCTAGAAAGATTCTTGCTAATTCTGAGTACAGTGGTGCCTTGGTTTTCAAACGTCTCCGTGGACGAGCATTTCGGGTCACGAACGCCTTAGACCCAGAAGGCAATGCTTCGGTTTTCGAACCCACCTCGGGAGTCGGACATGCCCCGCGGCTCCTGCTGAGGGCAGGATCCTGTGGCCCAGCTGTCGGCTGCAGATCCCTTGGTTTTTGAACGTTTCAGAGCTCGAATGGGCTTCTGGAACGGGTCATGTTGGAAAACCAAGGTCCCGCTGTATATTTTATGTCCACACTTTATCTAAAGAGTTTACCCATTAGCAATCTACTTCTGGGGCACAGCCAAAATTTAAAACCACAATTAGCAATTTTCCTACTAGTAGATGTTATGAATTGAATTGTAGCCTCCCCCCAAATTCATATGTTGAAGTCCTAAACCCCAGTATTTCAGAGTGTGACCTTATTTGGCAATAGAATCATTGCAAATGCAATCACTTAGATGAGGTCATACTGGAGTATGGTGGGCCTCTTATCCAATATGACTAGTGTCGTTTTTAAAGGGAAAATTTGGGCACAGACACAGGCACAGGGAGAATGTCATGTGAAGGTGAAGGCAGAGACCTGGGTAATCTTTCTATAAGCCAAGGAAAGTCAAAGATTGCCGGCAAATCACCAGAAGGTAAAGAAGAGGCCTACAACAGATCCTCCCTCCCAGCTCTCAGGAAGAACCAACCCTGCCAGCACCTTCATCTTGAACTTCTAGTCTCCAGAACTGTAAGATTAGAAATTTCTGTTGCTTCTGCTCCACAGTTTGTGGTACTTCGTTACGACAGCCCTAGCAAATTAATACAGTAGAGTCTCCATCAGATTCTCAGTCAGCATCTACATGTCCATAACAGCACCCCTCGAGATCACAGGGCATCCCCCTGGGTTCATTTCTTCTGCAGACCACTCTGGAAAGAACTCAGGTCAACTGTATTGTTAGTGTTCCTGTATATAGTAACGGTTAGCTCACTTTTTCATTCCTCTACTAAAGCAGCTATTTCTCAGCTTAATAATTTTCACTTCTGACTTCCAAACTAAAGTTCTTTGGTCAATTAAATAAATGCGTACATTCATTCCCTCATTGGATTACAATGAGTGTAATATT